ATATATATATATATATATATATAGAATCTATTAAATTTTCAGGATTTAATTTTTGGGCATCCACACGTGGATACTGTATAACTAATATCCGGTATATGCTTGTAAACATGTGGACAATTCAGGTAGCAAATCCTGAAATATGCCCCATGCCCCTCGTGAATCTGGAGTATCATTTCAATGGCTAGTTCATAATATGTTCAGCTCAAACATTGTTCTGAGTCTTTGGCAACTAGCTGTTTTTCTTTACTAGTAGACCATGCATGTATACATGGATAAACCGATAAAATAGGAGAAATCTATTTACCGTTTACAGATTAATTTAATTGTTTATATAATCATACTTGGAATTCGGATGATATATCAAGTTATCTTCACACTGTATAACAGCAACTTTTTCCCATTAATTTACAGTAACATCATTTTCTAAATTCAGATATTCTCACATGGGACATATATACTTTAGTATCGTTGTATTGTTTACAAATTAAAATATTTTAAAAATGTAATAATTGATTTCATAACTTTAAGAATTCCGTGAGAATTCTTAAGGCATTCCTTTAACATTCCGTGATAATTACATGTGATTGTCTATAGTAAGGAAATTTTAAAGGAATTTCAGAGGAAATTTTAGAATTTAGATATTTACAATCATAGGATACTGTGAGACTGTTTCAAAATAAAATTGCATTTTAATTAATAAACAAATGCCAGAATGTGAAAGAAACCAAATTGTATACAGTGAAACTTTAAAGTGGGAAAGAGATAGGGTGGTGAGATACAGTTAGTGTTTTAAAATTCATCTTGAAATATATGCTGCAGTGCTGCACAGGTTTTACAGGTATGTATATCAGTGGTTGTACGTTATTAATGTATGTTTTGGGGACTAGCATTGCACTATCTCGTGAAAAGGAAATATAGCGTTGAATACAAACTATAAAAACCCAATCATATTTCAATTTAACAAGTATGTAAAAAATAGAGAAGTAAACTAGCGAAGTATCCCAATATTAAATGGCGACTGCCAAGATTTCAACATTCACTCATCCAAACCCCCATGCCCCTCATAACATGCAAATTTGAATCATACTGTGCAGTTGCTTGAGTCAGAGTGCATGCCAGTCTTATTAATATGAGTGAGCAATATAACTTCCATCTGAATCTTCAGTCCAGAAATGTTAAAATCCTTTAATTACATTGGCATTCCCCAATGGGCCCACCCCAAGGCTTATAACATACATTATATTATTTTATATTAACTGTATAAATGACAAGTCTTATTTTCAGCAGACAAATTTCAAGCCTTCACATAACTATAACTCTTTATATAGTACCTTGCAATTGTAGAAGTAACCCATAAGGCACAATGCTAACTATAGCATGCCCCACATGACTGTCAGTGTGCTTTATCCACAAGAGATAAGGGGCATTAAGGAATATTGGTACCCTATAATGACATTGCAACAAAATAGATTTAGGTGGGGTAAAATTTTTTCCCAGCATTCCACCGGTGGCGTAGCTAGAAATTTTGTTTCGAAAAAGGTGGGGTAATGATTTTTTCTGGCTGCATTATACTTTCTCTTCGGCCCCCACCCCTGCCATAAATAATTACCGGTCCCTTGTCATATGAATGTCCATTCTTGCTAACTACTTTAAAATACGATTAAAATAATTACGAGCATGTCAAAATTAAATAGATATGTACATGACAGAGGGCAGCAATTTTAACACACAAGACGTCCTCGTCTGTAATATAATCCGTATCTTTGTGCACATCTTTCAACCTTTCAATCATCATTCCAGCGAGGTGCGCAGTGCCAAGAGAGTGTTCAAAGCGATTGTGCGAAGCTCCGGGGAAGACCCAGTACGAAGCTCCCAGCTGCTTGATGTCTTTCATTCTTTGGAAACACGGAGTGTGAATGATGGCGACCAATAGAGGATCAAATTCCATGTAGCCATGAATTGGATCATTGAATCCTGTCTTATCTCCAGCCATGGTGTGATAGAATGCGTTATACTCTAATCTAATCTAAAGGAAATAAGAATTTATCGACTAAGGAATATTTCGTATTCGAAAACGCTAACTTACTCACAATATTTCCAAAGCGAGGAGCGGAGCTAGTTCCTTGGACTTCGAGTTCAAGAGGTTCTAATCGCAGGATTTGAAGATAAATTTTATTAGTTAGCGGAAAGGCTAACTTGGGTTTTGATATGTTACAGTTATATATTTATAAAATACTGAAATACAAAAATAAAAATCACATCACTGGTCAGCGGTTTGGTATGGTGGCCCAGCATTCTCATTTAAACCTTTTAACAAAATTTAAAAGGAATTTTTAAAAAATTAAAAATAAAAAATAAATTAAAAACAAAATTTGAAATAAAAAATAATAATTGTGAATAAAACAATTGAAATTAAAATAAACTAAATAGAAAAAAAATGATATTGAAATGTGAGTTTTAATTTTAAATTTCATTTTAAAAGTTGCGAGCGGCCCAGCGTTCTCATAGACCATGATGCTTTGCGGGCATATAACAAATATAAGCGGGAATTGGCGCGCTTTTTATCAATAGATGATTGTACTAAATTGTACTTTGCATATTCTTGTTTCGTTCATGCAAATGACAAATCAACAGTTATGTCACGCAAAAGAAATGCCATTTGGGATGATCTAGAAGCGAAAACTACAGGGAAAAGAACAAAAAATGATGCCATGAACAATAAGAGGAAAAAGAAAGGTTCAGTGCCAAACGAAATCGTAGTTCAAAAGCTTTCGTCAGAACCGGACAGTAAACAAACTAATCGTCCAATACAACCGAGATAATTTGTTCCCTTTGAACATGAAGAATTGACATCACCAAATCTCAAATCTGATTGTGTCACACACCTTAACATGCCTCCTGGAACGTGTGATGTACTTGTTTCAAACAAGGAGCCGTCGTGTACTGATATCTCACAAATTCCTCATCGACTGAAGGACAAGGTATTGTTTTATACACTATATTAAAGTGCCTATGCGACAATTTTTTATGATTGAATTGCAAGGTTCATTTAAAATCGTAATATAACTTGTTTTCTAAAACTTTGTTTTCTTTCCTGTAGGTCAAGATTTTCGACTTTGTTTGATATACAAATATGACTTGAATGACGTCACAATGCATAATGAGTTTTTAGAAAGAAAACGTTTCCTTGCCAAACATGTGATAATTCCACTGACATTGAAAGTGATATACTTTAAGAGCAATCAAAGTGATAGTTTCGTACGTAAATTTGAGATAATGAGAATTTTAACAAGCTACAACACAGTCTTCTGTAAAACGCATTATGCAGTGTGACGTCATTTAAGTCACATTTGTATATCAAACAAAGTCGAAAATCTTGACATACAAGAAAGATTACAAAGTTTTAGAAAACAAGTTATAATATGATTTTAAATTAACTTTGCAATTCAATCATAAACAAATTGTCGCATAGGCACTTTAAACCAATAAATTATATATAATTATTTATAGGACTACGTGAATTAACCAGCATTTATAGTACAGCAAACAGTGTCAGTTATTTCGGCCCCCTCCCCCTGTCTTGTAACGCTTATGTTAATACTCATTGCACTTATCAGTAAATAACAACTGGAGGTGGGGGTTAGAGGCATACCTCCGGTATATTTTGGGGGGTAACATATTGACGTTTAATTTTGCATATCAATATTGATCATAATCACAAACCTTCCCTTAACTCTATCTGCAAAACTCCAGCAATTTCCCATAGATATTTTTTGGTAGTTAGGATGTAGGTATGCCCCCCTAGTGCAAAGCACATGGCCAAATAGGTCTCATTTAGTCACATGGGGGAAGGGGTATCATGCACAATACACCCTTACAGAAATACAGCATTTGGCTATGGAGCCTCATTTTCATGATTGAGAGGCTTGGATTTAACTAATCTCAAATGATATAATTTCGGAAAGGGTGCATATCATCCATAAGGGTGTGTGCGGGCAGGAGGGAATTGTCCAAGCCAAACATTTAATACATAATATGTCAATCTCTTTAATACGTCTTCTACAATATTTATATTATAGTTGAGCCTATCAGAGAAGTAAAAGTGCCGACTGGATCCCTTTTCTCGTTTCCTTTCCAACAGTTTTTCGTCTTTGCGACCCGTATTCATCATCAAGTGTCATAACGTCATACACAAGTCCTCTAGGAACTGCAAGGTCATGTTTCTCACGTATTTTTTGTGCATTGCACGATAACCAAGCAGCTTTCCGGGTCCATCATTTTCATCAGTTGTGTTGTAACCCACGTACTTTATATCGAAATGTTTCATTCGGCGTCTCAAACTTCCAAGACTCCATGCGTATTGAGGAAAGTCTCATAGAAAATCTAGTATTTCTCTTCGTGTAAAATTTCATAAAACCAAACAGCTTATTGTTTCTTTAAATTAAGTTCTTCGTCATTTTTCCAATCAGTGTTTCTAATATGTCCAATTTCCACCATGTTTGTTTTATTAAAAAGCGCGCCAATTACCGCCATTTGTTATATGCCCGCAAGGCATCATATGAGAACGCTGGGCCACTCGCAACTTTTAAAATGAAATTTATAGTCAAAACTCACATTTTAATATCATTATTTTTTTCTATTTAGTTTATTTTAATTTCAATTTTTTTATTCACAATTATTATTTTTTATTTTAAACCTTTTTTTTAAATAGTTTTTTTTATTTCTTTTAAATTTTGTTAAAAATATGAACGAGAACGCTGGGCCATTTATCCCTCTACATCTTCATGTTATGAAAACATAGTTTGTGGGTAAATATAAGAATTCCCGGTGATCAAATATTATTATTGAAACGAAACGAAAACAAAACAAAACAGGGAAATTCAAAATCAGGCAAAAACAAATTCATGTTCTGCTCGAATTGCGCAAAAGAAAAAGAGAGCGCAAAAGAAAAAGAGAGCGCCAAAGGTGCGAGAAATCTAGGGGGTTCCGGGCATTCTCCCCCGGGAACACATTAAATTTCTAGATTCATTAGAATGCTATTTCACGTATTTTAGGATGAGGTTTTTGTAAAGAAAAGTCAGGGACTGCGGAGCCTGTTTAAAAGTGGTAGGACCAGGATAGCACGGGAGCTATGCCACGCAGGCAGACTGGATTCTATCCCATCGGCCCAGGCCCCCTGTTCCGCGGTTCCTGAAAGTTAAAACCACAAGAAGCCATATTTAAGTTGCCTAATTTATGTAAAACGTTGTACTGTATACGAGAATACAATAAAAATAACTAACTTGGCCGCCATTTATGAACTTTGAAGTCAGTCATGGCTGCTGCTATGCGCGCAAATTCAAATGTGCTTTCAACAACCGAAGGCATTTTTTACTGTCCACAGTATGGATTCTAGATAACGAGGATTACAACTTTTACTGGTAAACAAAAGAGAAGGGTATCATTTTTCAGACAGCGTACCCTCCCCTGCCAATATCTGCCCATATTTCAGCTTTTCAAAAGGGTTGTCCTTCTGCCAGATGGAGGGGGAGGCTCTTGCCTTACGCCGAGGCTCTTGCCTCTGTCCTCATTGTGGACAAGGTAAGTTCTATTATAAACTCATCAGACCATATTCTTTTGTATTTCGTCGGTTTTTAACTTCTCCGTAATAACCGTCAATCTAAAAGCAGGCGGTGGTATTTGATTTCTTCGGGAGAAATGCGGGGTTGAAGGTTATTACGAAAAGATAAAGACCGGGTACCAGGTTATTACGTATACCGGTTACCCAGTTATTACGAAAAAGTAATAACCAGTTACCCGGTTGTTACACAAAAATGTAAGACCCGTAGGGATTGGCCGATATCGATACCAAATACTCGATACTATCGATACCAGGGTTTTGAAGAAAAGTATCGATTTTCATTTTGGTCAGTGGACTCATCATGAAAATGATACCAAAAAGCCTAAATAGGCGTAAATACTATCAAAGTAGTTCATTTTCTATGGTGCATAATGGTCCACGGGCAGGATCAGAGTTCGTGGTTATGTTCATTACAATCATGAAAATAAACGTGTTAAAAACGTATTCAACAAGCATGATTTTGGAGTCGAAGAGATGAAAATAGTCTTTTGTTGTTGTGGTTGTTCGAGTTGGGAAAAATCGATATCGGTATCGATATCGAAAAAAATGGCAAATATCGAGTAAGTATATCGTATCGAATGAAAAAGCTGGTATCGCCCATCCCTAAAGACCCGTACCGGGGTTTTACATTTTACGTTCAAGACCTGGCCATAAGTCTTGAATTCGGGACTTTAATTTGCAAGAAAACTCAAGCCCCACATCTCCTTTTCGACGAGAAAACACTGCACGTCTCTAAGTCGAGAAAGAAACAACAGCCGTGTACCTCGGAGCCCGTCAAAACTCTACCATTAGCACAGATGAGATAAGTACAAATATGAATCTCACGGCAAATTATGTCACACCGATTAAATAAACTTTAAAATTGTATTAATTCACTATTTTATTAAATTTTGATAATGCAGAGGAATAAAAATATACATATGATAGAAGTATTCATGTCTTTTTATGTGAGAGTTATGTTTTGAGGCATTTATATCATTCGCTGTTTTGTTATTTATACACGAGCATCTGAAATTCCCAGCAAGTGTATTTC